TTTTGGCCTGCGCTGAGTTCTTCTCCTTTGCTGCCTGAAGCTAAACCTCAGCAGAAGCCAATTGTGCCCGGGCAGTTTCTTTTTCCGAGGCCAGATGGTCCATATTTTTCTTCCATTTTTCAGCCTCAGCCTTCACCGCGTCCGTCTCTGCCTGAAGCTGCTCGACCTAGTCAAGTCTCTTTTGAGCCTGTAGTTTCGGGTCGTTAGCCAAAGTATCTGAATCATCACCGCTAAGATCGAATATTCATATTACCTGCTCGAGCAAACCGACATGCTTCTTCCGAGCCGCTTCTAACTCGGCCTGAAGCTTCTCACTAAGAAGCTTGTAAGTATCCTTCTTCTCGGCAAGCTCCCGAGTCTCGGCCTCGTGACGCTTGAACTTCTTTCGGTATCGGAGAAAGGCCTCATGATGAAGCACTGAGGCCTGCAAACACAAAGGAAGATGTTAGGATTATTCACTATTGAATCTAAGTATATAACAAAGGGATATGCGAAATTACCTGATTCAGCGCCTATTGCGCTTCGTTGAAAACTAGGGCGCCTCTACCTCGTTCATTTTGATTTGATCCTCTTCGGTCACCAAACACCGAAGGTAACTAGCAATTCCCACCGGGGCAAAAAGAACCTGGGCGTCCTACGGGGTGGACATATAAATTGCTCGCCTCTAGGTAGGATCAGCACTCGGAGCAGGGAACTGGTTCACTAATTTCGGGCTCGAAGAGGACCCACCAGCTCCCGGGGACGATATCTTTCTTGTTACCGGTAGATCGCCCAAATCGGTAACATTCTCCGAAACAGTGGAATCTAGGCCTTCGAAAAAATTATGGAAAGAATCGGCTACTCCTTGGGCCCCTTCGCCGAGGTTACCTTTCAACGCCTGGGCCTCGTTTATCATAGAAGTTGTAAACGAAGGCGACCCAGAAAGGTCAATCACCCCAAGCGCCTCTTTGGGTACATTATCTTGTGACCGGGATGTACCAATTACATTTTCTTTCTCGACCTCACTGGCTCGGGCCAAATCGGTCTCGACCCTCTCGGAGACTTCAGCCACTGCTTCTTCTACGACCTCCACGGTTCGAGGTATTTCGGAGCCTCTTCTCACACGGGCCACAAACTCAGAATTTTATTCTTTCTCGGACTTATCCCTCAACCGATTGAGTAAGTCCGATGAAATTTCTCGGGTGTTGGTTTTCTTAGGTTTCTGCACAAGTCGCTTCCTAGGTCTTTTCCTTTCAAGGGCCGAGGGACTCTGAGCTTTTCTTTTCTTCTTCTCTTTGACCTATTTTGAAGTAGGGGGATCGGCGTGTATATCATCGTCAGCTGATGGAGGCCTCATATCGACGTCCTTTCCTAAACCTACAAAATAAAAATATAACGGATCAGGGACTGATGATAAAAAAATGAGATCATATGTATTATTAGGGGAAAACCCTTACCATGATTACGGGCCTCCCATCGGCCCTTCGAGAGCTCACGCCATAAGCGTTCGGAATAAGGTCTCTATGTCACAATGCCCTCGACCCACTCTTTAAGTTCGGGGACAGGGTTCGGCATCTGGGAAACAGTTGCATCACATAATATTGATGAGAAACCAAACGGAATGAAAAGCAATAAAAGGAATACCGAAGGCAAAGCTAAACTTATGTTTCATGTTCCATTTCTCAGGGAACGGCATGTCCGCAGCCGGGATTAAGTCTGAGGTCCTCACTCGAACAAATCTACCAAACCAGTCCCGGTCTTGATCCTCGTCAATACTCGAGAACAAGGTCTTGGTGGCTCGGCGTGCAAGCTTAATTAATCATCCTCGGTAAAGTCGAGGGCTGTACAGGCGCATAAGATGATCGATGGTGAATGGACATCCCTCGACCTTGCTCACAAAGAATCGAAGTAGAATAACAATTCTCCAAAATAAAGGATGTATCTGCCCGAGCGTCACATCATACCTTTTGCAAAAGGCTATGATAACCGGGTCTAGAGGTCCCAACATGAAAGGGTAAGTGTAAACACTTAATAAACCCTCCATGTAGGTGGTAATTTATTCTTCAGGGGTAGGAGCCACTATGTGTTTGCCTACCCAGTTGCAATCCTCTTTAACCTTATTGAGGATGTTGTCTGTGATCGTACATATGTACCTCGAGACCGGTTCGCATCAACTCGGTACCATGGGTGTATTCTCAACCTTGAAATCAACCATAGTAGGGCACCCGGTTGGGATGTATGATCTCAGAGGGGGTTCCTAAGTAGCAGCGTGAGGAGCATTTTCAGAAGGTTTTGAAGAAGAAGGTGCTTCTTTTTTAGGAACAAACTTTGAAGTTTTTGCCATTTTTATAAAAAAAAATAAAGGAAAGAGATTGTTGATAAGGGGAAGCTTTGAGGTTGGCAATGAGAAAACCAGAAGATGAAGAAGATGAAGTTCTTAGAACGCAAGAAGGATTTGAGCGTAAAAGTTATAACAAACGGATTAAAGGGTATTTATAGGTTCCTCAAGCGGCGGTTCATCTCCTGAGGTAGCCGACCGTCAACTGACATATATTTAATGCCTCGAAGACAGGACTGACGGGATGTTTCCACTATTATTATCACCTATGTCATGTACCCGTCGTCTTGATTTATCGAAGTAAGGATCGAGGGTTCATATCGTTTTTAATCGCTTACTCTCCAAAAAATAAGGGGACTATCTGTATACGGGTAGAATCGAGCAGGCTTGATCGAGGCATCTGGAACAATAGGCTAAGGCTCGGCACCTACGTAATAGATTGAAGTTACAGATGTAACTGAGCTCGATATCGAGGATCGAAGTTCGAACAAGACCATCAGATTTGCCCTCGAGTTTATCGGGGGCACGACTGACCCCACTTCTAACGAGCTCGAAGAAAAGCTTTGCCAACTCACATGACAAGTATTTGTGATTCTCGCCATTGACCAATCATTATGGCAAAAATTACGGGATTAAGTCAAAAATGGAGCCAACGGTCTACATAATTTCTTATAAAATAATGTCTTAAAGGTTTCATCTCCCCGTATATATAAAGAGAATGGAGCAATTCATTGGTGACATGGTAACATACTTAAGAGAACAAGATACTATTTTTTCGAGTTTTGTTCATATTATTCTGACTTCAATAATATCACATCTAAATTCGAAGGAAATTAATCTTGTGAGGCTCAAGTTGTTCAATCTGCATGGTGTGCATTTATTTTTCTATTTAATCTTCCATATTAAATCTGATTTCTCACTTTATATCAAATTAGATCACATATCCTTAAAATCACGTATAAATTCAATTGTTTTCAGATTTTGGGATAAACAGATTTATTGTAAAATTTGTAAAGATCAAGTCAAAATCATGACACATACGGCAGCAGGTAAGGTAGTTTCCTGATACTTTATATTTGACCAACATCTAATTCTTCTCCATAAATATGTCCAGTTTTCAGCTTATACTATCAATAAACTTCCTCGTGAATTTATAACTTATTATTGCGGATAATTAACTGTAGAATAATTTGTGAGAGTATAATCAATTCAGGACTAAAAGCCATAGTCCATACCTGAGCTACAATAGAAGAATCTATAATATTCCCTGCTATCCCAATCCATTTTAACATAGCAACTGTAGCATTTATTGAAGAAAAAAAAACTAAAAAGTTTATAGCTTCCTAACCAATGAAATATAAGCCAATCAACAAATTTTGGAAAATTGGTATGTGAGTTTGATGAATGCAATAAAGATAATCATAAAACCTTCAAAGCACTTAAAAACCTAAGTCAACTTCCAGTGGCAATAGTATAGACTATAAACCTCTATGTACAGAGAAAAGCAAGATGCAAAATAAGATCATTAACATGATCTTGATTACAGCTAAAGATAGATTTGAATCTCCATCAAATCCCACAAAATCATGTAAGAAACTATATTAATTAAGGAACAATCACATTAGTATCCCTAAAATGTCTCCGCGAAATCTGCCCATCTTTCAACAATAAAAAATGCAGATGTATACGGAAAATAAACAAAGTTAGCATCATATCATTTCTCTATCTTCTTTCACTTGCAGTTATATGAGTAGCAAAATATATAAAGAGACAATTAAAAAGTTGATACAGGTGTGTCTGGACACCTGAGCTGACATGTGCAAAATGTTTGATTTTCACGCAACGTTCGGCGCGTGAAAACTCTAAAAATTATATTTTTGCTTTTTTTCCATGTGGGGCCCACTTTCTTCATCCTTAATCAAGCAATAACAAGCACCACCCTTCTGCCACCATAGCCGCCGCCACCTTGGCAGCCGACCTTCCTATCTCCACCATTTTCAGATCCAATTTTCATCGGCCAAAAGATGTAGCCAAAGAACATTCTCTTCGCCATCGTCCTCCATATTTTCTCCATGAGCGCCACTCGAAAACCACCAAAAATGCCGTGAACCACCACCATCTTCTCCGACCTATCACCAAAAATTTCAGTTTCTTCCTCTATTAACCCCATTTCTCCAAGAACCAATAGCCTCATGTATTACCACCAAAACGCTTTTACTCCATCATAACACAAAATACCATATTAGCTCCCAAGTTATCCTCCAGTCCAGTCATCAAAACCACGATTTTTTTCAAAATATCCAAAGCACCTCCACGGTTGTTATTTTATCTAATTTGCAGAGAAACATTTGAGGTCATTTCTTGTTTTTAATTTCTATTTTGTTTGTGTTTGTGATATAAAAGTGTTTGGGTTTGTGATAATTAAATTTTTAATCCACATAAAAAGATTAAATATTTTTTCAATAGAAATTACATGTGTCATTCACTGATTTGTTTGTTTGCCACGTCATCCGCGGTTGTGTCTCACGCATGTAATCTTCCGGATTCGGGTGTTCATGAGACACATTTAACTTAGAAGTATCTATATGGTCATGTAGACACATGGGCCAACTTTAGTATTTTGCCTATATAAAATATACATTGGACTCTTCTCAATTTTTTTTTTATAGGAACACAGCGAGAGATAGAGCTCGTTCAAGCTAGATATTACAACAGATAAATACTATAATTCAGTTTAGTAATTTAAATTAACTAGAAGCATGAAGGAGGAGGAAGAAGGAGTAGAAGAAGAAGAGCGTTTAGATAGAAGCGGCTTCTGCCGCTGGGTCTATATTAGCAAAAGTTTTTTTAAATGAGAACAAAATATAAAGAGTGTCTTAAAAAAGGGGACGTACAGTGCCATGTTTTGTTAAGAGTAACATAGTTAGGATGATTTTGAATCGGTAAAATAATCCACAAATGGTTGTGTTTATTTCTGAATAGTGAATGAAGCTACAAGCAGAGAAATCTTGACATTTAACTGCTGTTGTTCCATTTCTTGTAGCCAGGAACCCATTTTGGACACATGGGACTGAAGTAGCTGGACACGACCCTAGAGTTCAATATCTCAATAAAGGGTGCATATTTCACACATAGGGGCGTCTTGTATTGGTTCATGGAAGCACCTAAGCTAATGCGATAGTCCATGAACTTGTCAAAAGTTCCAGTTTCCACCACCCTGATTTCTAGAGGCCCAATGGATTTCTCAGACGAACGGCCCTCGCGGTAGAAGTAGTTTAGAGATTCTTCAATTGTGAGGCAACACACTTCAAAGACTGAAGGAGGAATTGAGATAGAGCCATTCAAACTCAGCTCCCAAAATAGGACATAATGGCTTGGAATGGTGGTGAAATCGACGTAGCTGGTGTACTCCGTTAAATGTGCATCAAATGGCATCAGATTCCCCACTGCGTTTCTTACTGCATTTTGTAGCTCAACTTCATTAGGGTAGTCAGCACCAATGCTCAAGATTACATTTTCCCGGCATAGGAAGTTGAATTGAGGGGCGTTGTTCTTGTATCCAGCAACCCGAAGCACATCACCGACTCTATACCTATAGAGTCCTGAAATGGCACAAAATTCAAGGAAAGCTAAGCGTTGGCGCAAACATGCATGTTTGACAGATAAATGGGAAAAAAAATGTCAAGAGCTTTTCATTTGGAATTTGAAAATACCGTACCAGAATATGTGGTAACGACAAGCTCGTACTCCTGACCAATCTTGACATCAGCCAAATCAACCAACTGTTGTTGTTCTTTCTCATTAAGCGACTTGGGCAAGACTATAGAATCAATGACTCCACTGTTTCCATGATATGGTAAGAACTCAAAATAGCACATGGTGGGAATAAGTGTGTAAGATACTTCAGTGGGCTGACAAAAAGGGTTCAAATTGATTCCTAAGTGGCATTCTGAGGAAGCATACATGGTACTAACAAGAGGGAGGCTATTGCTATAATAATCAAGGGTCGGTATATATTGTGACATGAAGCCAGTCACAATAGTTTCCACATACTTGGTATTAGGCCACAACCTAGTGATGATCCCTTGCCATGAATCTTTGCTGCATTCTGCCTCAATGAAATTAGCTAACTTTGGGTCAGGTTTGAGGATTTCCATCACTGCCTCTCTCACTGAAGGATTAGTTATTTGGGTGTTAAGAGCTCCAGTTCGGATATCGTTACAAAGTAGAGACCAGTGCTTCTCCAAGAATCGGATGGCACTAATGAAGCCGCTTGGAAAAAGCGAGCCAACACGGAGGACTTCTTGGTTTTGGCAGAGGCCACAAAGCATTTGGGAATACATGCTTTGGTAAGAGTCTGAGCAAAGAATGGTTGCAGTCGGACTAGTGTAGTTAAAGTGGGGGTGATGAAGACGGCTGTAGTTGAAATGAGGACTCGTGTAAATACTTGTTGAACCAAAGACAGCTGGTAATCCTCCTGGGGTCTTCTCTTCAGACTTTATGAACATGAAATACATCCCTTTGCCCTTTCCGAAATCTGGATCCACTTGGCTCATCACAGACATCAAAAGGTTTTGAATTTGTACTGATCTCCTCTCAAACTCTCCCTCTACTGTTGGTATCAATTTGCTTTCCCCTCCAGACGTACCAGAACTGCATGTAGTACATCAAAATTTTCCTTTTAGCACAAGAGCAACATGCATGTATTGTTGACATTCTTAAATAAAATTGTGTTTTCTCTCCGATGTGGGTCACATACTTCAATAAATTTTTACTTTCTATCAAAAAAAGAATGATTTGAGGAGAACCTTGTAAATAGTTCAGAGATGGTTTTGGAGCAGAGAATAGGAGATTTATCTCCATAGGCTATACGTTTGATATCGGGCTGAATATCTTCGTAAGTGATGACAGGTAAAACTTTCTTGAATGTCTCTCTATCAGTGCTGCCATTGAGATTATGGCGTTGCAAGTACTCAACATGTGCATTCTGGGAGAGGATTTCAGCAAGAACTCTGCACTGGACCTCATCAACATTGCTAGTCACCTCTTCAATGAACTCAAGATTCTTCTTGATTTCTTCTGCCATACCCCATGTGGACTTCTTGGGGCTCTTTGTTTCCTCAGCTATGCTTCCAACCATATTTTATAGATGGACAAGTGTTGTGTGGGAGGGAAGGCTGAGTCGAGCGATAGTTCCACGATCCCGACGAATAACTTCTTGATCTGTTACAAGGTGAAGGAAATAAATATTGAGCTGTAGGGGTAGTGTATAGAACCTGTAGAAGTGGTTTTCTCCTTTTGTCAATTTGGTTTAGGTAGTTGAAACCTCAAAATGTGCTCAGTACCTCGGCTTCATACCGTGTACAGTACTACTTACTATAATAAATTGCTTTTGACATTTGTGAGACTGTCTATCCAGATCTGAATCTTTGAGCAGTAATAACATTAATCAATTACAGAGCAGCTCAGTTTCGATTCTGAAATCTGAATTAATTTGTTAAGTTTTATTATTAAAATGATTGTTGACTAATAATAGTTATTATGGTAACATGTGATTCTTATTTGTACGAGGAAGAGCTGGTGATTAAAAAAAATGTAAAGCATGTTTGGCCAAGAAATTGCTTTAGGACGAGCTCTACTAAAACATGTTTGGCCAAGTTTTTCTAGAGCCAAAAGCATTTTTTTTTTCAAAGTTAGAAGTGTTTGGCCAAACTTTTAGAAGAAAGAAAAGTGATTTTGAGTAGAAGCACAAGTAGTTTTGGAGAAATAGAAAAAAGTAGCTTTTTTTTTAAAAGCACTTTTTAAAAGGTTGGTCAAACACTAAACTCAGAAATATTTTTCAAATTAATTGGTCAAATACAAACTGTTTCTTACCAAAAAGTACTTTTGAAAAAAACACTTTTAAAAAAATACTTCTCAAAATAAGCTGATTTTTTTAAGTTTGGTTAAACATGCTTAAGGGTGTGTTTGGTTTGAAAAATATTTTCCTTGGAAATTTTTGTTGGAAAATATGGGATTTTCTTACTTAATTTTTGGTGTTTGGTTAAGTAACAAAAAATATATTTTTAAAAAATATTTAATTTAGGAAAACACTAGGAGAAACGGAATGGGATAATTGTAGGTCGGGGTTTAGGACCACATAACACAAAAATTATTTTAAAAAAAAGTCATCCACTTCTTGTGCAAGAATGAAATGGTCAATAGTTCCACGGAAAGAAATTGATGGAAAAAACATGTCAAAAAATGTGGAAGGAACAAGTAGTTCTCTATTCTTTCGCGTAAACAATAATTTAGACCGGGCAGCTAATAAAGCCAAAACTTCATTATAATTCGTATTAGATGATTAGTAACCCTATCTCAAATATATTGTATTGGTTGTCTACCCCATTCCTGTGATGCTCCCATAACTTTAATCCCCTCATGTTAGAAATACCAATCGTATTAAAATTTTACTGTATTAACGTATTATATATCTTTAGGGGTGTTCATAAAAATCCGAAAAAATAAAACCAAACCCAAAACGAATCAAACCGACTAAAAAAATCGATACTTTTTCGGTTTGGTTTTGAATTTTAAAAACAGATCAAATTTGGTTTGACTTTGGTTTAATCAAAATATAACCGAAAAAAACCGAACCAAACCGAATATAAAAGTAGTTATTTAAAATTTATTATTATACCTATATATATGTATATGTTTATACAATATTTCTAAAATTTTATATTACATTTTAATAGTTTGCACTTTTAATCTAGTTCTTTGCCTTTACATTCTATTTGATTAGTAGTTTTCTTTTGCTAAGTACAAGAATTTATTTCATGTTAAAAATAATTTATTTTGAGTCCTAAAATTATTCATCACTATTTGGTTCAATTATCATCAATATATCTTGATAAATGATAGATTTCTCAAAAAGTAATTTATTTGATAGTGTTATGTTGAAAATATAGTCGCCGAAATATGTGTTTGGTAGTGTATATCTCATATTTAAGAAAAAATCGATAAATAATCGAAAAAATCGAACCGACAAAAATCGACATACACCGAATCAATAAAAACAGACTTAATTGGTTTGGTTTGATTCAAATATTTAAAAAATTGACTTACTTGATTTGATTTCTTTTTAGAGAAAAATCGATCCAAACCAAAACACTACCTATCACATAAATATAGAAACATCAACGACCTGCATAATTTTGTGTAATATGATAAAAACTTCAAAAGCCCATTACTTTTATTCAATAGTATTATATACACTATAAATAACATGATCTTGGTTACAGCTAAGGAGATTTGAATCTCCATTGAATCCCACAAAATCATGTAGGAAACAGAACGATCACATTAGTATCCCTAAAATATCTCCGCGAAATCTGCCCATCTTTCAACAATAAAAAATGCAGATGTATACGAAAAAAAAACAAGGGAAAATTTCACATAAAAATAATTGGGCTCCCTATTTTTTAATTTTATAACTCATATTTCAATTTATAACTGAGTAGCCCAAAAATAACAGGTCCATATCCGAAAAAGGGGCGTTATTTCTATTTTTGGGGATTCAAAACCGGGATTTTCTCTCTTTTAGCGGGATTTTCTTTCATTCTTTCCATTCTTCTTCCCCAAATCTACAAAAACGCGATATTACACTCAATGCAACTCCAAAAAACCTAAAAATTCTTCTTCATCTCGAATTAACAGCAAATCAAACACGAAAAGTGATTTTTTTTTTGCTGCAATCAGCGTGATTTTCATTTTTGCTGCAATTTTGATTTTAACTTTTTGTTCGATGGAGCTTTAACTAGTTTAGGTTCTTCATAGTGGTGAATGGGATGACAACAAATTTATCAATTTCGTCGGCGATTCTGAGTTTGAAGCAATTTCGAAACAGATTAGAGTTGATTCTGAGTTAAATACATTAGAGATTAAGTTTCTCTCAAAGGATGGTTTGCCATCGATTCTGATTTACAACGATGCTGGTGTTCGGGTGTATATTGAATTAAAGAAGAAAAACTTGGATTTCACTGAGTACTCGTTGTGTGTGACTGTGAAAGAGATTTATGATAATTGTTTGATTGCTACAAGTTCAAGTTGTATAGATAAAGGCAATCGTGTAAATGATATTGAAGATGCATCCACAATTGATAGCATTGAGATTATGCCTGATATCGAATTTATAGAAAACACTGATTATGGTATAATAGATAATATGTTAAATGAATTAGTTGAATAGGAATGTAGGATCAAGTTTATAAAGATAAAGAGACAGTTGTCAGTGTGATGAAAAGAGGGAATATGAACGATTCATATAAGGAGTTGGTGAGGTATTTGTATATGTTGGAGCATACAAATCCAGGAACAGTTACAAAGTTGCACAAATCATAAGATGGATGCTTTCTTTACGCATATGTTTTGCTATATGCATCTATCAAGGGTTGGGAGCATTGCAGGCCGATAATGGTTGTTGACGGAAGTTTCCTTAAAGCATCATATAAGGGTACCATATTGACTGCTTGCACACAGGATAGAGCTAGTGAGTTGACTACATCTACTTTGTTTCTGCAGTTTGTATAATATATGTTGTAGTTTCATGTATAAACGTGTATAGGATTTAAGAGCTATTATTTTTATAAAATTTGCAGTATGTATAAAGTTGTATATTCGTGTATAACTGTGTATAAGATTTGTATAATTGTCTGAATCCTAATATCTACTTTGTATAAACAGGAAAAATACTTCCACTTGCATATGCAATTGTAGATTCAGAGAATAATAAATCTTGGGAGTGGTTCTTCGTCTAGATAAAGGGCACTTTTGGTGTTAGGGAATGGATGCGTATAGTTTCAGATAGAAATGAAAGCATCTTCTATGCCACAAAAGTTGTATACCCAGAAGTTTCACATTGTATTTGCATGTTTTACTTGTGGCGGAATATCAAGCGCACATTCAAGAAATATCACAAACAATTGAAGGATATCTTCTTCGCTTTGGCCGGAGCTTACACGATAGAGAAGTTTGACTATCATATGACATAGATGTGCAAAATTGATCCGAGGGTGCAGCCTTACTTGTTCAAAATTGGTTACGAAAGGTGGCCTAGGGCATACTCCAAAGTTAAAAGGTCGATGGTAATGACTTCCAATATTGCAGAGTCAATTAATGCAGCAAGCAAAGATGCTAGAGAGCTACCAATAATGCGATTGTTGGAGTACATGAAAAATTTGCTACAACAATGGAATAACAAAAATAGAAAAAGTGTAATGGAGACATCTACAGAGCTTGGCGAAAAGTACAACAAACTCCTTCAGGAAAATCTTATTGCATCGGAGCAAATGACGGTAAAATAAATTAACTATAATGATGCATAGCACTACTGACTTGCATTTTATTGTTTGTATAAGGATGTATAACGCTATATAATAATGTAAATGTGCTTTAACTTCTTCTTTTTAAAAAAAAAAAAAAAAAACTTTTGCAGGTGAGGCCTGCTACGGAGTAGTTATATACTATGCTTGAAGGGGTAAGGCGAAACATAGTGTGCCTTGAAGAGGGAACATGTAGTTGCGAAAAATTTCAAATGGATGAACTTCCATGTCCGTATGCTTGGGCGGTTTTGAAGAACCAGCAGCTGAAACCTGGCCAGTATTGCTTTTTTTACTACAAGAAGGATAACCTCCTTAGAACTTATGAATTTTCAGTGAATCCGATGTTAGATGAGAGTTTATGAAAAATCCCAATAGAGGTGTTGGAAGATGTGGTCCTGCCACCAAAAGGGAGAATAAATGCAGGAAGGCCGAGAAAGGAAAGACTCAAACCGGCTTCAGAGAAAGAGTATAAGATGGGGTTTTCATGTTCTCTGTGTGGACAAAATGGTCACAATAGAAATACATGTAAGAATCGACCAAAATAAATAGTTGGAAACATAACACTTCCTATTACATATGTTGCCTTGTTGAGTAGTTAAGTTTCACAAATAATTGAGTTACAAATGTCAATAAAAATTATAATTTACACTATATGTTGTAATTATGTTAAATATGTTTCATTATACATGTTTTGATTATCCAATAATATGTGTTACTGCTTTTAATGGTGCTAAATATATTGATAGATTGTACAAATACAAAACAGGACTACAAACAATCAATGTCATTATATGTATACAGATGTATAAATGAGAGTATAAATTTGTATAAAATTATATAACTATGTATATTATTGTATACATATGTATAAACCCTGCAACATTGACAAAACTGCAACAATAACGAAAATACATACTTTTTAAAGAAAAAAGCAACTGAAATATTCATTAAAATGTAATTCATTCACAGCCATAATGTGTAATGACTACCACAAACTATACAAATAAAGTCATCTACATTAAAATGAAAACAAAAACAGAACTACTTTCTCGGGCGTCACCTCTTCCTCTTCCTGAAAAGTCTCCCTGTGATTTCATCACCGCTAATTGCACCAGACTGTTGATTTTTCCATCCATAATCCCACAACAGAGATCCCCACCTGGTGCGAAGTGTCTCAATGTCAAAAATATCTTTTCGTATTTCCTTACCTAGGATGAAATACTCAGCAAAGCCAACAACAAAAGCACCACAATCACTGTAATTAAAAAAATCAGATTCTTTGTACGTTACTGTATATAGGTACACAAATAGTAAAACAACTAAGATTAACCTACCATTTGATCTGTTGTGGCACATTATTAACCAGACTAATCTGCAAAGCATCAGAATGAGATTTATCGGTATATGCACTATTTTTCCAATCAATGGCCTTCTTCTCGACATAAAAATCAGAACTGTTCAAGAAGTAAGGTATCAAAATTGCATAAGGTAATGCAGCATCCAAAGCAAGTATGTCATTAATAGCTCCACGGTTAGAGTCATAGATGTGGATGCACCTATCTATGAACGTAAACAACCCCAAAACCCAGTGGCCCAATTTAGCTCTTCCACGCTTGACATAAATAGGGAATAACACGTGGTCAATAGTGTGTCACGCTACATTTGCATCACAATAAAAGCCTCTAATGTACTCATCTATTTCATGCCCTTCAGGAATCACAGAAGGATCTTGCTTCACTTTGAAATCTTTATACACTGAATTGATCTTGTTACCAAAGGCAAAGTCAATTCTATTACACCTTACGAAAACATTCGGCCCATATTGTTTCCTCTTCCTCAAATAGTAAAAGATGACATCCAAGTGGTGAGGCAAGAAAAATAAAACAAAAATAATCATCACTACTAAATGATTCAAAGTACTACAAAAAAGCAATATATGATGCAGATTTTTTGAATATACAAATTTATACAGTAATATATAGAGTTATACATATTTATACAAGGTTATATAAGCTTATACCGTGATTATACAAATATATTACATTTGATTATACAAAGTTATGTGTACACTATGAGGGGTCTCAAACAATAAAGATACGCAACAAAAAAAGGCATTAGGACAGAAAGTTACTAAATATCGTGTCAATCAAAGGCCGACCACAATACGCAAGCGAGTGGAACCAATCCTTCGTGGTCACATGAGCCAATTTTCCCAAATTGGAACAAAACTCAAAAAATAAATTATACTAAAAGTCGAAATAATAAAGCATGCAAACTAAAACTCCAAGTTTAGGCCCAGAATAAAGATAGAAGGAACACAAAATTGAAAGGAAAACACAACAACATTGTAAAACAAAAATATTCAAAATCAGAAAAGCCAAAAAATTAAAAATAAAATAAAATTTAAAACGAAAACAGTGGTAAAAGTATAAAATGAAATGAAAATTACCTTAAAATAAGAGTGAAAGCTCGAAAAATCACTTGAGACACAACAATGGAGGACGGTTGCCTTCCTACTTCTGTGAAACGAGCNTAGAGAGAGAGAGAGAGAGAGAGAGAGAGAGAGAGAGAGAGAGAGAGAGAGAGAGAGAGAGAGAGAGAGAATTTTTTTTTAAAAAAAAAACTAAAATACCGTTAATAATATTTGTGGGCTACCGGGTGAAAATAAAATTTCATAACATATACAATGTGGGTCAAACCAGGTTAGGGCTTCAAATGTGGACTATTTTCTAANGGTGAGGGTAAGTTGGTGCTATGAGAAATAAGTTGGTGAATGTTGAAAAAGAGTTTTGAAAAATATTTTTCCTATTTTTGATAGGGAAAATATTTTTCTCCAATTGGAGGAAAATGAATTGACAAGGAAAATATTTTCCAAAATATTTAAGCCAACCAAACGTGAAAAAATTGGAAACCATTTTCCGAAAAATATTTCCCTTCGTACCAAACACACCCTATAATTATTAATCCTATCTCAAATAGTTATCTACATCATTCCTATGATGCTCCCGTAATTTTTCCTCATGTTAGACCTGCCATTTGTATTAAAATTTTACTGTATTTTTGTTTTACATGTCACATAAATATAGAAATATCAAACGACCAGCTTAATTTTGTGTATATGATAAAAACAGGAGAAATTAAAAAAAAAAGCCAGATTTACAAGTGGTAATTGAAAAATAGCCACAGTTTCAAAAGTAATCGAAATTTAGCCACTTTTTATGTAAATATAAATTTGAACGAAAACACTGTTCAAAATCCGAAAAATATTCCAGTATAATATACTGGAACTCCAAGACGCGGGTGAACTGCCGAGATTCTTTGCAAAACCAGACAGGATGCTGAGGCATATAATGTGGTAGTCATAGGTATTACTGTTGTCCATATGGTATTCGTATGTGTCCTTATTTTTAGCTTTAAATTTAGAACGGGGAGTCGGGTCTCTTAATGTGCCATACGTTGTGACGATCCTAGTGGGGAGATTATATTTGTGGATAGAGTATATAGAGAAGGTGTGATATTTGTTCACGGAAGGGACACTATAGTCACTTTACTAATGTTTCTGATGTCTGACTTTAATATTACTATGTGTATGGACTGAGTGGTGTCGTGCTATGTGACACACAATTGCCAGGTAAATGATATTAATTAGTTGTTTCTTATAGTCTTAGAATGACATGGAAATGTGTTCATGATTGCCTTGGGCAAGGAAGTTCCTTATACGAAGATTTTACATGAGATGAATAGAAAGTGTTCAATATATCTAACTATGATTTAAGACACTAGAGTAGAGATTCTAACTCTTGGGATAGTGATAGTTGTTAACAAGTTCTCAAATGAGTTACACGAGGCGTATGTAGTGTAAATATGAAAATACAAGATAAGTGTAACGATGAAGTATTCATACATTTCTTTTCTAGGGTATAACTTGCTTAACATTCGAGGACGAATGTTCTTTTTAGTGGGGGGAATGTAATAACCCGAATTTATTTTTTCTATATACTAATTAAATTATGAGACTAGAAAATTAATTTATTTTGTAGCTATTGAAGAAGTACTAAGCTAGTAGAAAATAATCGATTATAATATATAAGATAAGGCACTAAATAAATAGCTAGTGGGCCTATTTTATAATTACGCATGCTAATTAGCAAGGTAGTAATTTTAAGAGAAATTTTCAGAAACTACTATTGTTTAGTGGATATTAACTTGCTATAGCTACCATTTACTTAATTACTTCCTACAGTTATCTTTTCACTTGTTATAGAGTGTATTCGATGTATTCAAGCTACTGTATTCATGAATACAGTAGCAAAACTCGACAAAAAACAGGAAAGTCCAGCTAACATAGACTATATTCATATGTATTCGCGAGCTATATTTGTGAATACAGTAATGGAAATCTACGAAAAAAAGGTCTCTCCAGCTGTTTAAAAACGGTAAGTAAATCAATTAACGTGATAGACTCCTAATATAACTCAACAAACTCAATTATACTTATTACAGTGACTCTTGACTGTTGTATTTATATGTATTTAGATGTATTTTATTTTATTCAACAACTTTTTAAAATACACTACTTATTCTAGTTTTAGTTATGTATTTCAACTAACTGTTTTCAACTGTATTCTCAAGCCAATTGTATTCTGTTGTATGTATTTGCTGTTGAACCTGCAAGTACATGTTCCACTTGAGTGATTTGCAAATCGAAAGATGGCCCTTCGAAATTGAGTGATTTGGTGGGTAACCCTCTCCTTAGTTGTTGAATCAACCATTGGATATGAAATTTCGAGTTTTCTGGTGAAATCATAACAATGGTGATTATTTATAAAAAAAAAATAGTAAAGAGAAACAGAAGAAGCATAGTACCAGCGAAAATCTAACAACTTTAACACTTACCATAATTTTTTGGAGTAAAAAATATTGAAAATTGAGAGAGACAATGAAAATGAATCAGTGGAGAATTGTGGATATAGAATGGGGAAGAGACTGGCGTTGTGAGAGAGAAATAGTGGAGAGAGATCGTGGAGGGAGAAGTTGGATACTATATGGTGATCTTGTGAGAGAAAGAACAGAAAGTAGGAGAGAAAAAAATATTACACATCGTATTTAATGGCTTAACGGTAGGAAGTGACCATAAATACATATTTTGCTATAAAAACTAAAAGGTAGCTATAGAAAAAAATATTTTAAAAGGGTATTTATTTATAATAAATAAGGTGTAAAGTTTTGCTATAGGAGGTAAAATTTTCTAATTTTAAATAATATGGATAAAAGAAGTGGGCTTTAAGCCCATATCTTATGCGGCTACTTTTAAGACTTAGGGGTTAGAATATATATTTACAGTTAGGTTTTTGGAGAAAGAATAGTAGCAGTAGACAATATTGGGGGAAAATACTGTGTCTTCGGCAACCTGCATTATAAGCCAGACAACTTGTACCAATTACTGTGCAGAAATCCTTATAAAAGAATGCAAGTTACAAGGTATGCATATATCTAATTTTTACCTACCGCATCCAATTCAATAAAAGTGGAGTGATGTAATATATGGATAATGATTATGAGACATTAATTATTATG